ACCCCCCCCCCCCCCCCGGGCCCTTTGGGAAACGCCTGGCTATGCTGATGATCTAATTTTATTCAGTAAAAACTATACAGATCTTCAAGCCCTTTTAAATAAACTTGAACTATTCTCTAACGCAAATGGTCTAGATGTAAATATTGAGAAAACTAAAATTATCATTTTCAATAATTCAGGGAGGCGGTTAAGTAATTATGTTTTTTATTATCAAAACAAAATTTTAGAAAATGTTAAACTTTACAAATACCTCGGCCTCACATTTAGTGCTTTCGGAAATTTCACAATTGCAAAACAGGAACTCAAGAAATCTGCTCTGAAAGCTTTATTTAAGCTGAAAAAGGAGATGGGTCACCCTTTTCACTATGACCCTCACCTCACCATAGAAACTTTTTGACACACTAGTAAAACCTATTCTGTTATACGGCAGTGAAGTCTGGGGTTCTGAGGTTCCTAAAAATGATCCTTATAGAACTTGTTCATACCAAATTTTGCAAAATGTTACTCGGAGTGGGAAAATATGCAACCAATTCTGCCTGTTATGCAGAACTAGGTCGACTCCGTCTGCATGTAGCTGCAAACTTAAGATGCATAAGATACTGGCTCAATCTAGTTACACATACATCGAGCCATAAAATTACATTCTTAGCATATAAAGAAATGATAAGCTCCAGCCGTAAAATTTGCTGGAGCCAAAAAGTAAAAGAGTCATTATTRAAAAATGGGCTGGGTGATATATGGCTAGAAGTAAATTCCAATACCTCTCGCCAGCCAAACGTCTTTGTTACTATCAAAACGAGATTTGAAGACATAGAGAAACAAAACTGGCTCGAGAAGATCTTTAATGATAAAAGGGACACCCCTGGCCAAAAGAACAAATTAAGAACGTATCGCCTCCTCAAAGTTAGTTATATGTTAGAAGGTTACCTAATAAATGTCAAAAATTTCAATCACAGAAGAGCCTTAACTAAGCTAAGAATAAGTAACCATGACCTAGAAATTGAAAGAGGCAGATACTCTAGTTACAAGAAAAGTAAAGGTACAAGAAGGTAGAGGAAAGGAAGTGCTTTCATTGTACTGATACACCCCTTCCGAGAAACTTTGTCACCCGTGAAGCGTAAATCGTATGAACTAGTGGCGCGGAGGTTCATGGGAAATGCGTTCAAATAAACCATGCATGACGCGGAAGCTTTCTTGGCACGGGAAACTTGCTTGACGCGGGRGTTTGTTTGACGCGGGATTTTTAAAAGAGCCATTATGGCCGACCCAGTACGCATTAACGTAATGCTTAAAGTGTATAAGCACGAGAACAAAAATCCATGTTCCATGTTCTCTTTGAAAGAAGTACCAATATTCAAAAATGTCCAAGAATTTAAAAGCTATTTAGTGAAAAAACACGCTGAAGAAATAAGCCCAGCAAAGGACATCAGCAGTTTTGACCTTGGTTATTATGGCACGAGAGGAAGAAAACTGACCATTTGTACAGAGGAACACCTAAGAGAGGCCTATTTAACTGAAAGCCTAAACTGTCACATTTTGGTTGAAGTCACATACGCATTTCGAAAAAACAAGTTTGCCAAAGAAACGAGAGACTGTGGACGAGGACGAAGTCATGTGTCTTGATTTCAAGGCGTCAAAAAACAAGAAGAAGAGTAAGTTACTGAGCACTAAAACGTGATACAATTCAAAATGGAGAAATACCTTTATGCTAGCTGTCTGTCTGTAYTTTTTCTTTTGTAAAGCTTAAAATTGGACTGTGACAATTTTGTTAGTAAGGTATTAAATTTTAGAATCGTTTGTGCATGGCGCACGTGAATATTTGAAGGGAACCCGATAAAAACGAATAAATTATAAAATGCCACTTCTTTTCTAACAAGTTCGTTATGATCTGACCTATGTTACGGGTTTTAATAAAATGTTCCATTGCTATGTTTACAGTATTCAGTATCAGTCGGTGTATTCTGAATTTAATGTTTTTCTTTAAATTTGTAGAAAATGATTCCGTCGAAGAAGACAAGGGCCTTTTCAATAACTATTTGTCGAGGCTACGTGAAACACATGGCTCAGTTCTTGGCGATTTTAAACTGAAGTGTTGGGCTAGAATGTTGGTAAGTTAGGCTGGATCGATAAATTGTAGAGCAGTTTTCATAATGTAAGATAAAAAGTTAGGTTTTCTTATCCACTACACAATAAAATGTGTGGCAGTTTGCAGCGATCTTTCAATCGCGCATGTAAACGACTCTGGTAATTTTGGAAATTTGGGGGTTTCTTCCTTATTAAAACTGCAATAAAAGTCGCTGCAAAAAGCGGAGATATAATCCTCTACACGGGATCAATAATGGTTTGGGTTATTACTGTTTTTCGAACCTAAGCAAAACATTGACGATTGTGATGTTTTTTTTATCGGGTAAATGGGAGTCACCGCGACGACACCGTACCTCCGAATGCTGCTTTTTTGCACTAGAGCCTACAGGTGCAGTTCCTTCTACATTTAATATGATTCCCATTGTAACCACGACTTCAACTAGTAGTTTTACCTCACTTCTTTCGGCCAGAACACAAGTGGATTCTGCCATTGAATCAAATAAAACAAAGGTGTGAAGTCCTCTTGAAATTGCGTCTAGAAGGAACGTTATTTGACACATGACATGGTTAAAAAATTAAGCAGTGGAATTCTGTTTGCTCTGTAGATTAAAGCTCGAGGGATGATTCTTCAACAGCTTGTTGAGTTGAAGAACCTTAAAGATGCTAATGTACTTAGCAATGATGAGTTTGAGGAACAGAAGAAGAAGATGTTAGAAGATCTCAAGAAACTTTAATTATTATTTGACAATAATGTAAAATGTTTTATGGTTGTTTTGTTTGTCATTGAGTATCATTGACATGCTTATTTGTCATTTGCAAATAAGTGCACGGAGGGCTTTACAAGTAATCTGTAAATCTTAGATAGTTTCTAATGTCTGCATCAGAGATTTGCAATGAAGGCTTCAAACACCATGAAAAATTGAAGCAATTTTCGAATACAACATTCATGATTACAGATTTCTCATCGACATACAAGAACGCATTTAACACTTAATATTACCATTTTGCGTGTGATGCCATTTCTTCTAAAATAGTCGTGTAAAGTAGAAACGGAAAGCCTGGCACCACATACTCCTTCAACGTGACTACAGGGCTCAGATAGAGTTTTTTCTGGGTGTTCTAAGAATTCTTGCATCAAAACGGCTTGTTCTTGTTGCGATAGCGAATACAAACCAGCAGGTCTTCCTGGTTTGTCAGCACAAACATTTCTTCTCTCGTAATATCGTCGGGCGAAGCGTAACACGGACCTTGAAGACATGCCAAGGCGATCAGCAATGTCACCTTTACGGTGGTTTAAACCATATAGCAGTACGCTTCTCATCCGTAAATCGTCACTTAATGCTCGCGGCATGATTGCTTTGACCCATGTGTTGGGGTGCACGTGGTCAAATATAAACTATCCCATGACTCACCGCGCCACTAGTTTATACGCTTTTCGCTTCACGGGTGACAAAGTTTCTCGGAAGGGGTATATAATAGAAGATGACACTTCCTAATTAAATGTCCTCTATACTCTAAACTTAGAGAAGAATTTCTTATGCAAAATAACATAAGTAATTCCCTTACGGAGGACCAATTGTTCCTGAAGTTGATAGATCCTCCCCATATTTTACAATCAGCTGCAGCAAAATACGTTTACAATTGTTTTGCTCTGCGTAGTGAAAAAAAACAACAACAAAACAAATAAAAATCAATACTTGTATAATATCGCATAAAGATGATTAGGATTAGTAACGCATTTTATCGAAATAATTATATGAACATTTATATATACAGAATATATATGTACGTATGTGTGGAATATGTGAATATCGATATTATGCACATACATAAACATACGTATATATTCGTAACTTATTTGGATCTAAGTTGATGTGCAACTTTGTACGAAACGCCAAATAAAATATGTCTGTCTGTCTGTCTGTCCGGCTTATTTTGTTTCACCTCCGCGCCGTTTCGTCCGGTTATCGTGGACCTCTTAATACAGTTGTCAATGAATATTAGCTTGGTTTATGCGCCTTTTACAAAAACCATTTTTTATTTTTGGTACTTACGACGTATTATTTTATAATCTTAGGTTTAAAGTTGAAATGCTGAATGGATATCTATTTCGTACGTTAAGACTGAAGCCAGCCACAGTGCGCCGTCACATCGCTTCTGTTCAACGTCTGAGTTTCTCGTCCACACAAGACAACTCGTTGGTGCGTCGAGTAAAACACCTCGCACGGGAATCTGATGAACGGTTATTGACTGTCTCTTGGAATGATGGCACAACTAATCGATATCCATTCGTTTATCTTCGTGACATCTGTAAATGTCCCGAGTGTTTTCACGACTCGTCGATGCAACGAGCATTCGATTCAGTGAAAGGGCTCCATTCTGGTCTCATAGCAACAAAAGTCGATATACATGAAGAAGGAAAACAGATCAAATTAATATGGCCTAACAAACACGTGACTGTATTTGATTCTGATTGGTTGTACGAGAGACGCCTCCCAGAGGAAAATCAAAAGCACGATGAAAAAGTAATATTTTGAATTTCAAGCATTTCCCCTGGCCTATGTTCCCTGCTGTGGAGGGAGAAGGGAAAGGGAGAGGGGAGGGAGGGAGGGGAGACATTTCTTTCTTTCTCTTCAGTTCGATTGGCTGCACACACAACACAATCACAACACACAGGTGGGGCAGGTGTGAAGCCTTTCTATTGCTATGCAGCTTGAAATTTTGTTTTTAAGAAAAATGTTTTTATAACCACTAATAGGAAAACTCGGTGATCGATGAAGGGATACAGCTGGGAGATCACACACTAACAGGAAACATTCCTGCACTCAAATTCAACGATGTTTTGAATTCCAAAGAAACTCAGATAAAATGGTTAGACCTGATACGTTGCCATGGTATTGTGATTATCAGAGGAGCATCAAGCGAAGCAGGTCAGGTCAAGAAGTTAGGTGAAACACTGGGATTCATTGTGCCAATGTGGTTTGGGTACGTACACTTTCTGTTTGTTTTCATTAATGAATATTTTCAGTCATTTCAATTTAATGCATTTCTTTTAATTTTTTCAACAGTGACTCACTTCTGGAACAAAATGATGTTGAAAAGGAGAACAAAGGTGATTCTCTGTCATCTGTGCCTCAAGCAACATGTGCTTACGACGAGTACAGGGGAGGGGTAAGTATTTTGTAATTGTGCGTAATTTGTTTCACATGTGGCAGGTACGGGGGAGGGTTTAGTACTTTAGTTTAGTTGATTATAAGATTCGTTTTTTTCTTTTAGCTTCATTTAATCCACTGCCTAAAGGAGGTCTTCGGGTCTGGAGGTGAACACACATTTGTTGATGCCTTTAAAATTGCTAAGAAATTCAAAAATGCCAACCCTGACACCTTTCGGTTACTTTGTACCTCCAATATAATGTACCAAAGAAAAGTAGCCAATAAGGAAGCAGAATTTCAAATGAAATTCGTCCGTCCAATGATAAGGTAACGTAACTCAATCCAGACCCCTTAATCAATCTTTCGCGTGTTTCCTGGGTTCTAATCGGAATTAATCTCCACATGCAGTGTTGGATTAAACGGCCGCTTCAAGTCGATGATATATAACGACACAAGCCGAGTAGCCTTCGTCAATACGACACCCGAAGAAATCCCGAAGCTATACCAAGCTTATTACGAAGTAGGTCAAATGATCAGAGACCCAGTGAATACAATAAGTCACAAGCTTCATTCAGGAGAAATCATTACGTATGATTGTGATCGCGTGTTCAGCGGAAGGAACCCGTTTGGACTAGGAACGAAGGGTACAGAGGTGTTTGAGATGGGGTTCACTGATAAAGACATGACCAATTCTCGACGAAGAACCTTAAAGAATGAGCAAAAATAATTTGGATACCGAGGTGGTGTTGTCTCGAGAGCCATGTACGCGAAAAGTGAACATGTCGCGCAATTATAATAGGACATTTAGAATGAAGACTTTACTTTAATACAAATGTAGATATCAATAAATAAATAACAATGAGTCCTTATTCCTTGTTCGTTCGGTCAGCGGCCCTACCGCACATCATGCAGGACTCGCGTAGAAACCAAAACATTTGTATCATAGTCATAATGTGGCCTGATTTAGCTCGTTTTTATAGAAAGTAGTGTTATCTTGATTGCTCCATTAGTTTAGAATTGGAATGTAGGTTCAATGTAATTCATATCATCATTATCAGCACTTGTAAGAGAAGATACACTGCCATCTTGTTGCTCGTAGTATATGTGGTCATATCTCTGCTCATTATACCTTTGATCATAGTACGTGTCGTAATAACTCTCGCCATCACTATATCTGTCGTCATATCTGACATCATCATAATGTATGTCGTCATATCGTTCAGCATGATCGTCATAGCTATCGACATCATCGTCATATCTGACATCATCATAACGTATGTCGTCATAACTACCATCGTTATCGTCATAACTTAAGTCATAATATATGTCATTTTCATCATCATCATATTCTTCATCGGAAAACTCATCACTTTCATAATCATCATCATCATCATCATCGTAATAATAATAATAGTAGTAATAGTCATTTTCGTCATCATAATCATCATATTCTGTATCACCCTCTTCTATCATATTGTACGCATGTGGAAACGAGGGTCGTGTATTTTGTTCTTGTAACAGGTCATACTCTTCGTCAACGGATTCCTCGGTGTCAAAAAAACTAGAGCTAGACTTGTCCGTGATGATCTCTGAGGGTATCTCTTCCCTCTTATCAATTCTGTCATCATCAGCAGCAACATCGGTAGTAGTAGCAGTAGTAGCCTCTACATACGTGGGAGTAGTAGTATCGGTCTCATCGGGAGCAGCAGCCTCATAATAATAATCAGCAGCATCGTCCTCATCATCAGCAGCAGCACCCTCTGCATAGTAAGTGGGAGTAGTAGTGCCGGTCTTATCGGGAGCAGCGGTCTCATAATAATAACCAGCAGCAACGTCCACATCATCAGGAGCAACACCCTCTGCATAGTACGTGGGAGTAGTAGTGCCGGTCTTATCGGGAGCAGCGGTCTCATAATAATAACCAGCAGCATCGTCCTCAGTAGCAGCAGCAACACCCTCTGCATAGTACGTGGGAGTAGTAGTTTCGGTCTCATCGGGAGCAGCAGTCTCATAATAATAATCAGCAGCAACGTCCACATCATCAGCAGCAGCACCCTCTGCATAGTACGTGGGAGTAGTAGTTTCGGTCTCATCGGGAGCAGCAGTCTCATAATAATAATCAGCAGCATCGTCCTCATCATCAACAGCAACACCCTCTGCATAGTACGTGGGAGTAGTAGTGTCGGTCTCATCGGGAGCAGCAGTCTCATAATAATAATCAGCAGCATCGTCCTCAGTAGCAGCAGCAGCACCCTCTGCATAGTACGTGGGAGTAGTAGTTTCGGTCTTATCGGGAGCAGCAGTCTCATAATAATAATCAGCAGCATCGTCCACATCATCAGCAGCAGCACCCTCTGCATAGTACGTGGGAGTAGAAGTTTCGGTCTCATCGGGAGCAGCAGCCTCATAATAATAATCAGCAGCATCGTCCTCAGTAGCAGCAGCAGCATCCTCTGCATAGTACGTGCCAGTAGAAGTTTCGGTCTCATCGGGAGCAGCAGTCTCATAATAATAATCAGCAGCATCGTCCTCAGTAGCAGCAGCAGCACCCTCTGCATAGTACGTGCCAGTAGTAGTGTCGGTCTTATCGGGAGCAGCAGTCTCATAATAATAATCAGCAGCATCGTCCTCAGTAGCAGCAGCAGCGTTATCATAATAAGTAGCAGTAGTAACGTCGTCATCCTCAGCAGCCGTAACAGCGTCATAATAATTCTGAGCAGGAGTAACAGTGTTATTATCGGCGGCAGTAACAGCGAAGTCATCATAATCAGTAGCAGCAGTAGCATCAGCAGCAGCAGTAACAGCAGCAGCAACAGCAGTAGGATCATCAGGAGTAGCCTCATCATCATAATCATCATCAGCAATAACATCAGCAGCAGCAACAGCAGTAGCATCATCATCATAATCATCAGCAATATCAGCATCATCATCAGGAGTAGCCTCATCATTATAATCATCATCAGCAATAACAGCATCATCATCAGCAGCAACAGCATCATCATAATCATCATCAGCAATAACAGCATCATCATCATCAGCAACAGCATCATCAGCAGTAGCATCATCATCATAATCATCAACATCATCAGTAGCATCATCAGCAATAACAGCATCATCATCAGCAGCAACAGCATCATCAGCAGTAGCATCATCATCGTAATCATCAACATCATCAGTAGCATCATCATCGTAATCATCATCATCAGCAGCAGCATCATAATAATCATCAGCAATAACAGCATCATCATCATCAGCAACAGCATCATCAGTAGTAGCATCATCATCGTAATCATCAACATCATTAGTAGCATCATCGTAATCATCATCAGCAGCAGCAGCAGCAGAAGCAGCGTCTTCATAATCATCATTTTCATCAACAGCGTCATTAGCCGTAGCAGCATCATCAATATAATCCGCATCATCAGCTGGATTGTCATTATTAGTATCTTCAGCAGAGTATCCACGGTTAACAATATCTTCATCTTGTTTTGCTTCCTCCCCTTGGCCAGAAATCTCTTCTCCCAGCTGAGCTAGCGAAGCTGAAGAAACCCTATTGTTGGCTATGGACCTTAGTCGGTTGTACATCTCATAATCTAATGACTCCATTGTCAGGCATCTTCTGAATCGTTCCTCGCTTGCTACAATAGAGAATTGACACCATAGCATTTCTGATGATCGCAATATAGTCTTTACTGTCCACCATTCCCATGAACTGATAAAAGCTGGTTCAGTTCTGCTAAACAAGCCAAACATGAATGTCTGATATAGGCTTGTACCGCTGTGCACTATGACTGCAGTATTCACTAGAATCAGTAAGAAGACAATGCTTTTTCGCACGTGAATATTCTTCGACATCAAAGTCTTCTTGGCGACAACTGCCAAAACTAGGAAGGTCACTGATAGTAAACAAGAAGCAAAGACAACCCAGCAGTGAGAAAAAGTCTCGAGTGCCTTCGGAGTCTCGTTGATCCCATTCTTTACGGTGTAAAAACCTACTTGTAGAACTATGAGTACCAGGGTAAAAATCGCTTGATGCTTGTAGCTGATGTAGCCCCAGAACGAAACCTGAAAATCCCTGACTAAAAGCAATAACAGGGCAAAATTGGCGCTTATGTAGAAAGGAGTACCCAAGCCCCATAATACACTTGTAAGTTTAGACCGTTGGTTCGTACTTTGGTAATAAGGGTCCACGAAAAGAATAATGAACCTCGTGAAAGAGAATAAGAATATGCAGAGATAAAGTAGTAACTGGCGGGCTTTTCTTTTAGGCTTCTGTCCATATGTTATCTTCAAGGAGCGATGAAGAGTAAAGGAAGCTGTTACAGCAAAAACAATACCAAAAAAATACACATGCACTTCCCAGAAGATGTCCCATTTCTGGAATGCCTCCTCCCACTTTGGTTCAGGTTCAATCCAGTATGCCAATTTAGGCTCCAGGATGATACTGAGCTGACAAGGTCATGGCTGAAGTGTTACGCTTTTCGCTGAAAAATTAATTAACGGAAAAATAAGAATACAAGGCCAAATGATCGAGGATAGTGTACCCAGCATTCTGTAACAAACACTTGATATAATCTGCGTTTGTACTCCGAAATAACGAATAATAATCACATGCGGAGCTAGAGATAAGAAAAATTGTGCTGGTTAATTATATAGCAGAAGCTTGAAAATCACGACACATGGCACGGTCACTCGGTGAAGAATTATAGTGATGTCACATCGCGAAGCTATTTATCCAATGAGAAAGCAGGAACCTGGTCTATCCAATCAGAAGGCAGGGAAAAGGTTAATTCATCCATTCAAAAGATCGAGAAGGATCCAAACGTTCTACTGGAATGTTTACAATTTTGCCGCTAATTTTAGGTCACAATGAACTAAATAAAATATAATAACTTTACCTCTGTTATTTACACCAACAGCTGAAACTCATTTACGTATTTGGTCTAAAACATCTCGTGATTTGTTTGAATTATTTAATAATTTTTGTGCGCGCATGTTATGACGTAACATAATTTATAAGTTGATGCAATTATGGTTGTGACGCATTTCCGGATCGAGATACTTATTCAAACCGAATCGCTTTTAATTTCAACCATATTTACCTTCCATCTCTTAGCTTTTAATTGCGTAAACGAAATCTTAAAATTGTTAATACTCTAGTTTCAAGTTTTCTGTTCTCCCTTCTTCTCCTCCTCTTTCTCAATTTGGGCTCCCTTTACCATGGGCTATTCCCAGGCTCTTGGCAAACCCCATCTCATCTTTACCACAGGAAGTCCATTAAAAATAATTTTGTTTTGGTTTAATAATCAGCCATTGCGAATTTAAGAGGTATTTTTTGCAAACAGCAGCAAGAAAGGAGGTTAGTTAAACATTTTACAGAATACTACAAGACTAAAATTTTTGCATCTAGCGACAGTTTTGCTTTACCTTTACGCCTGACTCTGTCACRCACTATAGAGATCTAGAGTATTTAATGTGGAACATCTTTGTCGCTTGATCATTGGGCTTATATACAAATTGTTGTTACTTTGCCTCCCAAGATATTTTTCTGCTTTAAAATAAACGACAGTAAACTCGATAAACATGTTCAATCATGCATGGAGCACTCGATATATTACGACTCGGCTGATTTCAAAGAAAACACACATAGTGTCAAAAGTACGACTCGTGACTCGGATTTTAAAAAAGGTTGCCCTTAAATGACTAAATTAGATCACGAATAACATAAAGACTGATCAGTTCTTCAGATAATGTAGATAGCATTCAGATATCGTAGTATTTCATTATAGCATCTATTGTGTTATCAATGTGTTATGAATGTTTTTATGAATGCTTATTACTAACGCTCAAAGGGTCTTACTAAGAGCTTGGGGTGTCATTCATTAACAATAATAAATTACATGGAAACTGATTCTCAAAAGAGCAATCACTCTCCGCCCATGTCACTGATTGACAGCTGACAATAACGTCATTCCAGATTTAAAAACCCAACTATTTCAAAATAGGTTGAATACTGAAACGGTACTGCATACTGAATAGTGTAATCCAAGACCGAAGTGCATTGTGGGTCATAGTGACATTGTCTAAAGTAGGATTAATAATAATTATTTATTCTATTTTTAGTGTATTCAATCTGGAACAATATACTAACTACATGTAGAGAGTTAATTGCTGTATATTTACTTTTTATTTCAAATTAACGAGAACCACCATGCACTTTGTTCTTGGAATGCACTATTCAATATGCAGTATCAGTATTCAATCTTTTTTGGAATAGCTGTATACTCTTTTTTACAGCAAAGCAAACACCATGTTGATGCGTGTACCGTGGCGAACTTTCACTCGACGTGTTTTAACAAGAAACCTTCGTAGTTTTCAATCATGCTCAACTCTGTTAAGGTCAGTCAGAGCCAAGCAAGTGAACCCTGACCAGGAGAACAGGATCTTGGAAGTAAAATGGACCGATGGCTCATTCAATCGATATCCCTTCGTTTATCTTCGTGAAAATTGTCGCTGTCCTTCGTGCTATCACGAGTCATCAATGCAAAGATTCTTGCATATGAAAAACCTGAATCTTGACTCCGCATCTTCAAAAATGAGCATTAAGGAAAATGGCGGGAAAATTGAGGTCATGTGGCAAGATAACCATATCAGCGTGTACGACTGTGATTGGTTGTTCCAAGAACGCATTGCCAAGAAAACATCACAACAACAGAACACTGACTTTTTAAGAGAAGATGTTCAGTTATGGGGCACAGATTTTGAACTTCCCGAATTTGATTTTGAAAGAATGTTAAAAGATGAAAGATCTCTTTTGGACTGGTTGCTAACTCTGCGTCGTGTTGGAGTAGCGGTGTTGAAAGGAGTTCTCCGAAAAGTAGGCCAACTCGAGCGACTTGGGAATGCAGTAGGCTTCTTAAAAAACACGTTTTATGGGTAAGTAAAAACAGTGCTATCTTCATTCTGAGGTGACAGTCGCCTTGGTAACCGTTGCTTAGTTAACCGACCAAGGCCCATTCCATTGTGCATTCACCTTTTTCTGTTTTATATTAGTAACAAACGGTTCCCATTTTCCCATAATCACAATTAAACCCCTCTGCAGACGTTATTAGTGCCCACCGTATTCTCCAGGTGCCATTAGCACTTCCCTTGCATTCATTTAATGCATGGACACTTGGTCTATACCGTCACGTGTGTTTCGGAGCGCGAAATTACAAATTTTAGTAAAACAAGAACGCGGCAATTTACTTTTCCTATGTAGTATTTCCACCCGAAAATAAAGATTTGCTTAAAGATAAAGATATAATCGAAGAAGATTAATTTACAGTATGCGAGTTGATATATAAAAATACCTCAATTTGCCACTAAACCGGACGAATAAGGCAAGTTTGACTTGGATGACATGAACGATTTAACTTTCACATATTCTTTATCCTTCAATAAAGTTATAAGTACAGGAAAAAAGTACTTCCATCCCCAAGTCATTAGATGAAAATGAATTTTACACACACGGTATGTTAGATAAGTAAATATTTATCTTACCCTGAACTTCTAGCAGCAGTGGACATCGTTCAGTTCTTGAGTAGTTCTTTCTTGTGCACTTGTAGCAGACCATCCTCTAAAACCTTCCAAAAGACATCTTAAAAGTTCAAAAAGCGCGAAAAATTACTGGAATATGACATTCATACAGTAAAGAACATGTAAAGTCCTCCAGCTACCATACACAGGGTTTCTTAACTGCAAAAAAATAAAAAAGAATTATGTAACATTTTCCCGCCAAACCTACCTGTTTCACTGGCTGGACTTGAGGCATGTGTGGTGGACGGCCGGCAAGACCATATGCTAATTAGGTTAATCATAATAAGTACGAATTTACTTCCGGTGCCGTTGTTGTAGCCGCTGACAGGGCTGACGGCTGCAAGGGAGAAGAAAACACGTTAGTCTCGACTAATATTCACGATATGTTTGACGAAGAAAGATAACTTTATACGTGGATTGATCACTACATAAACTATTTGTTCTGTTGTATCCATACAGGGAGAATGTGGCACTTCGAAGTGAGCATAATGCAAGAAGTCTTGCCTACACCAGCTACGAGCTCCAACCACACACAGATTTACCTTATTATGAATTCAAACCAAGCGTATGTATACATGTTCCCGTATCGGGCTTCCTGTGGTGCGCCAACGCGTCGTGCTCCTGCTGAAGGCGCTGACAAATCAGAACGGGACCGTTTGTCAGGGCCTTGACACTTCTCTCGTGTTCTGCCAATCCCCATGTGCTTTATGACTGCACACAATACCCACGGCATAGTTAGTAGGGTAAAGTTAGTAGAGTAAATATGGTCTCCAGTGATATATATAGTTTTTGGCCTTGGAACTTGGAAGATGCTTGCTCCCCTGTTGAAACTTATACTTATCTATTCCAGGTAATATTACTACAGTTTATTGACCAGGTCAAGTCCCCAGGAGGAGCGAACACTCTGGTCGATGGTTTTAATGTTGTTCAGGAAGTGAAAAAAGTCAAACCACGTGAATTTGATCTTCTAGTCTCCACCCCAGTCCTCTGGCAAGTGATTGGAACAGAGAAAATCTACGGGGACTTCATGATGACCTTTGAACGACCAGTTATAGAGTAGGTGTAATGATATTAAGGCATTCAAGTAGCTTGGATGACCACTTTAAATGACATTGCCAGAAGTACTAACACTAATATACCTGGTTAGCCTGCACTAACCCTGTCCCGCGTTTTATCTATTGAGACTGCTAAAAATGGGTCTCACTCATTCAAAATTGAAACTAACGTGGTTTTTTTTATTACTGCAACCATGCAGACTAGGCTGGACTGGCAAACTAGCAAGAATCAACTACAATGAGCCTTTAAGAGTGAAATTTGTCAATGTCTCTGTGGAAAACCTGCAGGACGTGTACCAGGCTTATCAAAGTTTGACAAAAATGTTTTACGAACCTCGATTTGTTGTGGAACGAAAAATGAGTAAAGGAGACATACTGACCATGGATAATGATCGTCTACTCCACGGCAGATCGGCTTTTGAGGTGAATCAGAGAGACCAACGCTGGTTACAGCAGGCTTACATGGACTGGGATGTTCTGCGCTCAAAAACGAAGGTTTTGAAGAAGAAACTAGGACATAGCGAACAGTAAGAGAAAAGCTCTTTCATACTGCTCTAGCTGTGTGGCATCTGTTGTAAATGAAGAAATCGTAATGATCTGGGATAGCATAGTATTGGAAACGATGACAATAATCTTGAATGATGACAATGATACCTTGATAAGTGATTTGTTTGCGTGTTATAAAGCGAGGGTTGAAAGGTTATACTTGATTCTCTTTAGCAACGCTACAACCCAGGGGGAGGGAGGGAAGGGGGGCTACGACAAAATTGTGAGACAAGATACAAGATTCACCGGACGTTTTCTCCGTATGCCACTTACAGTGCGCGTATCACACGTAACGTGTCAAGGGTCTACAGCAGTAATTCATGGTTTATTCATTCAGCACCATTATTTTGTAACATGAACTACATTATATACAAGAAATCTATTTACTATTGGCTTATGTAAATCTATTTACATTGTGTAGAATAAACCCAGCCCTGCTCTGAACCAACTACTGGTACTGCCTGCAGTAAACGATGGGCTGTTTCTAATGACACTGAGCACAGCTCTATATTCATATAACTTAGTGAAGACCGACGGGCTTGAAGCAAACACAACATCTAACGCAACCGCATTTACGACAAATATTTGATCAACTCGTATAACTAACCCAACTGATGACCGCTCTGCAAGGAAGTGTTGGACTGGAGGATTGACAATCCAGCCCCATAATACCGTGCGAGACAAGTTCATTGTAACTCTTTTTTGAGAGTAGAGCAGATCAGCTTGTGCTATTCCCAATTCCATCACTATCCTCGTATGTTTGCTTTATGTTCTATTTCTACCAGCTGTCTACGTATCCTAGATAAAAATATTTAAACAAAAATATTCTTGTGTGTATATTGAAGAAATGCTGCTGTGTGGTTCTTATACTAATATTAAAAAACATGTCCAAACAGATGATCAATTAGACGCTACAGTCGCGTGAACCAATGCTGCGTCACGTGACAGACTGCATACGCCAAGAATTCTGTCACCATGACACTAATTCAAACCAATATCATTACGCCGACAATGAGAAAATCATATTACTAAGTGATTATCTGCCTTGTAGGACACGCGTAGAATATAGTGAACTACTAACTTGTGTCTAGCATGTCTGTAAGATGGAGTTGTTTATCTTGCCTTACAAACCACATATTTATATCGAAAAATGGAAGATCACAAGAAGCATTACCGAAAAGAGATTTTACTTTTGTAGATACAAATTGTGTTAGTAAGGAAAGACAATATCAATTGTTTTCTCAATATTTATGTCACTTAGTATCCATGCAAAAAAGGAGGTTCAACAAGGATCATTGTTTTCTTTGTCTTATCTTGATGCACTCCACACCAAGACACTTTACGAGGTCTCTATTCACTATTACGCTTCAGTTCATAGAGTAATTTTCCATCAATAGAACCAAGTCAAAAAAAACTTAGTCCAGGTACTTAACAATGAAAAATAACTAGAAATTGATATCTATTTACAAAAGCCCTTCAGATCTGGTTCCATTTTCCGTGGAACGCATTAAAATACGAATATTGCACCGACAAAAAATGAATTTATGAAAGTTTCTTCAAAGTGAAGAATTTCTTGAAATTTTAAGAAGTTCTGTATTGTTTAATTGTGTCAGTCAGCGTAACTTTGCCGTAATCAATAGAAAGACTTATCAAACACGACAAGGTCTCAAGACTCTATGCTAGCTATCATTCTTGAAACCCCGTCGTCATCGTTAATTCTGTCTAAAGCTAAGTTAGAGGAGGCAGCGAACCAGTGTAAAACACAAGGCACTTCGTTTGTTCGTCTTGACACTCCCTGCCTCACACACGTGTTACGATCATAACTGAACTTAAATTATTCGCGAAAGTGAATTAACCTCAAGGAATTTCTGTACAAATTAGTCATGATTACTGCGAGTCGCTTGACTGACGGCTCAGGAGAGTAAATATACCTTAATATACAAGAATTATTGACCTGTGACGGTCCAATTGATGCACAGCAAGGCCTACATACAAGGAAATTCATCTTCTCATAGGCCTCTACATTACATTAATAAATTAGAATAAATTAATATGCACTCTTGCGACGAGCGCCCTTACAATATTCTTAACGGTATACCATGCACCCTATCGCTTCGTACTCTGTTCTCTGTTAGTAGATTGTACATGTATAAGATTTAGGAACTTTGGCCGGCTGTCTTGGCCTTTACGAGGAATTATCGATTGGCCGGGCGGGTAGACAGCTACCGGGCGTCGGGAGACCGGCGGGAATCGATAGCTGATCGTGACGATAGTCACCTCAGTGTTGCATGTCGTGTTTGTCATTATCATCGGGCCTCTTTACGTGTGTTTTCATGTGAGCAGAACGACTCTTGATCTTATGGAAAATTCTACGAACAAAATGGGTACAAATGATTAACACAGAGAGCAGAATGTGTACTCAAGCTCATGGCTGGTTTAAACATCGTTGTTGTTGATGATGTTAGTGATGATGATGATGATGATGATGATGATGATGATGATAGTGGTGGTGGTGGTGTTGGTGATGATAATGACGACGATGACGATTATAGGTTTGCATTCTACATAGTTTGAGCTTACCTTCCACAGACTTTACATGCATATTCGGGTAAAGGTCCACCTTCTACAGTAGGTTGTGGCATAGGTGCTGGAACGTATGGTTTACGTTTTTTAACCACTACAGGTACACTATCCTGGTTTAGTGATGTTGTTGCGGGGTTTCGTCTTTTTCGTGGTTCGCTTGGTTTCATGAAACTAAGCAAGATATTCTTATTAGATGTAAGTAGTTGAAAACTAAGCAAAACGAAATAAAAACGAAAGAAGAAAAATGAGAGTATTTTGATTAAGAGTAGTTGCCAAGCAACCAAAAAGCGCCTGGAGGAATGAGATGATTAATAACTCAAATACATCATCAGATGAATCAAGGTGAGAGGTGCGAGGTGTCAAGATGAATACAAGGTGCTGTGAAAACTAATAAGCAAGAGGAAGAGAGGTGATGAAATAAGTCAACATACCTTCCGCCATGTACACGAATATGACCATTGAGTGCTTGCCTTGAGACGAATTTCTGTCACGAAACAAATGAAACACTTAATAAAGCGATATCAATAAGAAAGAGACAAGATATCAGCCAAAAGTTGAAAGAAAATTACAGGAATGGGTGGGAAACAGCTTTTGAAACCCAGTGTATTATATTCAACCATGATATTGGGTCTTAAGAAGCCTTGCTTGGCCTTCTGATTTCAATAGCACAATTATATTAATTTGGCAATTAAGAATAATCAATCAAGATTTGATCAAGTAATTCTGCTATTCGTGTTGCATGAACATGAAAAATCGCCTGTGGATTGAGCTGGTTGTCGAGCGGTTCTTAATTATATTGAGTTAACTTTTCAAGCCAAACATTCCTACATTCTTTGATTCATGATTCACATCGGCAATGTAGTAGTAAGTGGAGCCTGATAGACAGTATTATAAGGTGTTTAGTGGAGCCTGATAGACAGTATTATAAGGTGTTTAGTGGAGCCTGA